AGCCGTCAGAATCTGAAACAAATCCCTCTGAGCAGAACAAACCTGATCTCGCACCGGTTCCAGAGCGACTCCCCTCCGAGCTGGTGACGCGCCGCTTTCCCATAGCGAGATTTGAATGCTAAGGAAATAAGGTTGCAAAATAACATGTTAATAAGAAAGTACGGGTTAAAATGGAGATAAGAAATCAAAGGCTCGGGATTAAACGTCCTAGCCTTCAAGGTATTGTTCTGTAATCCGGGTTGAGATTCGGCAGGAGCTGGGGTGGTGTCTGAGGGCAGGGTTCTGGCTGACAGAGCCCAGCGGCAGGGCCCGCACCACGCTCGCCCAGCACCACGTTCTGCTCCATCATCAGAGGACTCGTGGTCCTCTCACAGGGCTCTGTTTCCCTACGAGTATGTCTGGCAGCTGATGGGGGAAAAGGAACTCTGTGCTCTTGGGAAAGTTACAAAAAAACCAAAGCGAACAAAACATACCAAACTCATGGTAACATTTTGTTGCGACTTCAGACCTGTGTTACCAAAACGTTACCGCTGTCATCACAGCCGCTCTGTATTTTCACTTTCTCCCCCTCCAGCACTGTTGATTTCATCGGAAGCTGCTATTTCACCGAGATCTGCAAGTGCAAGCTGAAGAACATCGCCTGTCTGAAGTGGTGAGAAGGCTGTTCAGTGAACCAGCACCTCCCCCAGCACCTCCCAGTGCTCTCAACCTGCTCCCTGCAGACAGGGCAGTGCCAGAGCGAGGGGAGGAATGAACAGATTGCACGTTCCACTTCAAATTTAATGCTGTTTGATAGAAACTCAGCCCACTACTCCTGGGCACGGCTGCCACTCTATTTCTGTGCGAGTCCCCAGTGGAAATGTGACAACCCTGTCAGTAGTCTGAGTGTATGGGAAGGCTTGTATGCCACCTGCCTGATTAAACGTCTGCTTCAACACCAAGATAATTGTGTGAATAAGGCTGCAGCAAGAAGTAGTTACTCATATTCTAATTAATAGAACATCCTCTTGGCAGATCTGGTTGTTGCTAGCAGATGGAACATGCTGTCACTGAAGTTCTTGGAGTTCTTTTATCCTCCCTATTAATGCCTGATATTTAAGAGTAAAAACAACAACTCTCAAACAGCTCACAGTTATTTGAGCTGATCCTTTCAGCTTTGTAATGAAGACTTTTATCTTGCTCAGATTTAAACTGTGGGGGGGGTTGTGATATTAAATACACAGTATTTTAGACAGAAATAGAGAAACTGAAATATCTCAGCAGAGCCCATGACTGAGCAAGCAGGAAAATGGTCGTTCTAGGTCTCAACCCAGGAGACTAGATAAGGCTTTGATGTTCTCAGCCTCATTAACTCCTGCTGCTGACATCCTCCTGTGCACAATGCTTCTGTGCAGATGGATTCTATGTGCCTGATGGAATTCCAATGGAATCACTGGCCTCCCAAAAAAAATACATCACCATTTGTTGGTGTGTAAACTAATCTGGATCAATTTAGGTTACTAAATGGTTCTCGATGCCGAAGATCTAAAACTTAGATGTTTTGTGTGTACTGACAGACACTCCCCCATTATTTAAGATGCTTGTTTAACTACATTCCCTTAACTTTATGAAAATAGGAGTGTTACATAATGGTCTGGTACTGCAGCTATTTAATTTGAACTGGAAAAGCCACCAACATCTATCTCCTCATCAGGCGTTCGTGGTGCTCATCATGTCCCTTGTCTTTCCAGTGGTAACATCGTTGGTTATCATGTGATTTCTCCCTGCAAACCTTGCCTGCTGTCCTGTAACAATGGCCACTTCTGGATGTTTCATAGCCAAGCAGTCTTTGGCATCAACAGACTAGACCCTTCTGGTAAGGAGCACGTTTCCTTCCCTTCCTTAAGATCTTGAATTCTAAGTTCTCCTTCTAATGAGGCATCTCAGTATAGTTAAAGCATATGGAGGGAGCATAACATATGGAGGCATAAAGCAGGCGTTACTGCATTGCTAAACCAGCACACTGCTTTGGGGGAGGGAGCTGGAGCTGCTTTGTGATTGAAAATTTAAGTGGAAATTTATCTCCATCAGAAAAAACTTAACCTCCCCCTTCCGCGGACAGCAGTCAGGACTTTCTGAAGCAGTATTATAACTGTGTAAACAGCCAGCAGCTGCTATTTATAGTGGTATGTATAGCTTTACTGAGCTATTAGGCAGCTGTCCAACAGGCACTCTTTTGGGGTGAGTCACGTTGTCACTTTGACCCTATACAACTGAGTCCTCAAGAGCTCGGGCTGGAGCTGCGAGTTCCCTCAGGTAGGTGCTGTCTGGGTGCCAAGGCTCTAGCATCATTTGCCTCGAGTCCTGGGGCACACATAGCATTCTGACAAATCATTTCTCCTCCATCCAGATGGGAGCAACTTACTGTCTAAAGCTCTCAGTGTCACCTGTGTTTATTTAGAAATAAATCAGCCATGAGGGGATTGTCAATAGCGACGTGAATGAGCCATTTAAACACATCTCTGGGCAGGGACTTGATCTTTGCACTATGTCACAACACTTCCAAGATCACTTTGGAAGAAAAATAAGAAATAGTCTTGATATATTTATCAGGAACATGACTTACTAGGTTTTGCAATTATTATTTTCCCTGAAAATAGTTGCACAACATAAATAAGGTCATAATCCAAAAATACCTTTTTGTTTTTTTCTCTGCTTTGTCTTCTTACCTCCTTCCCACCAGGTGTGAATGTCTTGCTCTGGGGCAACTTGCCAGATTTGGAGGAAAGCACAGATGAAGACACGTCCTCCATCTCTGAGGAGGAGTATATCAGATAAATGTTATCTCTATTATACTACAGTATCTTCCCCAGATTCGTTGCACTGCTTTTTGGTTTGGATTTCTTCTCCTGCTGGCCTGTCAGAGCTTAAACAATACAGGAAACCAGAAAATCTGGAAAACAATCCTAAAAAATGAAAGTATCATCTTTGTCTTTCACTGTAGCCTTCCTTAGGCTCTTGAATCTGCCTGGTGTGTAAATTGTGAGCAGGGACACACCTTAGTTAGATCTGGAAATGCAGGTGGAAGGTGCATCTGGGTCTGGTTTGCTTTCTACTTTTAAGTCTCTCTGATAGTCTTTCTTAACTGTATTTTTCTTCTTTCCTTAAACAGTATTCACAGAGCAGTTTCAGTTGCAAGTGCAGCTTAAAAACCTTAAACAGCCACTCTGGCTGATGAAGTTCTCAAAGAGCTTTGGCTTTCTACTTTTAAGTCTCTCTGATAGTCTTTCTTAACTGTATTTTTCTTCTTTCCTTAAACAGTATTCACAGAGCAGTTTCAGTTGTTGTAAGTGCAGCTTAAAAACCTTAAACAGCCACTCTGGCTGATGAAGTTCTCAAAGAGCTTTGCTTCTGTGGTCACACAGACCACTGCCCAGAGCTTTTCTTCTGAGTGTAGAGAGTTGCTGAGTAAGTGGCTTAAAGGCTTGGAGCTTTGGCTCTGTGATCTGGCTCTCCTGCCTTCAGCAGCTTGTTCTCTGGGCAGCTGAATCATGCCAGGATGCTCCTGAACACAGACTGGGAACCAATCTTATGGAGACTTCCTGTCTTCATCTTTCAGTATTTTTAGGATCATGTTTCTATAGAGATCAAGTTCATTTTCTTTTCCCCTGATAAAACCTGAATACTGCAGTTAATGGCAAATAGAACTTCAAGGCTACACTGGAGTTTAAGGTCAATAATAAAACTATGCAGTTTTAGGTGTTATTTTTTTCCCCTTGTAGGGGAGGCATCCCTCCAAAACAGAACTCAATCATCTGATTGGGTCTTTTTAGAGAAAGGAAAGTGTTCAGGTTAAATATTTGGTGTTCATGCCTAATCTTACATCCTGAAGCACAGAGACAATCTGGTTCCTCTAAGAAGTGGTGGATTCCAAGCTCATTACCTGAGTTGTTACAACTCTAGTATTTAATTTAGGAACTAAATAATGTCCCCTTCAGCTAGTCACCTTAAAGATCCCTTTTAGAAAACCCAAGGTACAGTCATAGAAGAGAACAAAGTACGTTTTAAATTTTGGATTGATGCCAAAAAAGTGTTTTATAACCTCTTGGGATGCTTGGAAGAGGTGCAATGAAGGCAGATCTGAATTGTCTTAGTACTTTTACTGCATGTTGTAGATTTCTTAATTCATGGTACTACCTCTTCTGCATTGTTTAATGTATATTCCTATATATATATGTGTATGGCTGGCTGTCTTGTTTTGGCTTCCTGTGTTATGTCTGCTCATGAAATAAAAAATCTTGGACTAATTTCTGGGCTGTAATAAATATGGATGTGTAATCACATCAGATAATCAAAACAATGAAATAGCATCTTCTGTTAAACTAGTTGAATAATTAGGTCCTTACTACTATGCTTTTAGAGACCCAAAAAGTCCCCTCCTTTTTAGGCTGGCAAACCTGACAGCTTCTCAGCCTTAAAGGTGTTTATTGAGTCAGCTCCTCTGTAGCACAACTTCCCCCTTTTTGCCAGTTTTCTGTGCAGCAGGA